AGATAACACCCTCCTATTTCCTTAGGGATAAACACTTAACATCCGCTAGCCTAGCTCTGGTAGGCTAGCAGAGGCTTAAAATTAAAGGTTCTATCATCTGAGTTTAGACTAGTGTCAGATGACACCCTCCTATTTCTTTAGGGATAAACCACTACTATCTCACACAAACCTGTGATGTAGAAGAGATGTGGCATCTCTCTAGGTTACGATAGTTCACTATTATTCAGAATTAGGGTAGTAACAGCCTACCCACGCTTCAATTAATTAATCTAAATCTGCTCAGAAACAGTGATCAGACATAACACATGATGATAAATATGACTTAGGAATGGAGAGAGAGGTACAAACAGGAGCAACTAGATTTTAAGAGAGAAAAATACGTTTTAATGCAGAATTTTAGAGAAACGTAATGTGATATAATATTACAAGACATAAATAATGTATGCAAATAATTTTTCCCCCAAATAAAAGGGAATAAAAGAAGAGATACTGTATTAAAGAACTGAAAATAAGTGGTGCTGAGCGCTATGCAACTTACTGTTAACTTATTATAGGATAGATAGTGATCTATGTGTGATAACTACAGAATGCCTCTTTAGTTTGGCTTTAAACTTTTAAAACTGGTCTCTATTGGTGGAAAATTTGGATTTGTGTTGAGCTATGTCCTAATTTGTCAATTTTTTTTATTACAGAAATAGGGATATTAGTTTCCCGGTGATATTAATGCCTCTTTCCTCTCGCTTAGTCTTTAAATTAATATTTAACTGCAGTGCAAACTAATGCAGCATTCTCAGTGTCGCCTGCACTGAGGTAGAGGAGGCTGGGGTTATGCACTACAGGGATATCTTCTCCGGGTCTTGCACCGACTGAAGCGCAACGAGTTAGTCTATTATTTTGCTACAAAATACTTGACCTGAAAATTGGTACGTAACGACTCAAAATGGCCTGTCTTGTTACATAAAAACAGTGTGACCTACCTTGTTACATAAAAGCAGTGTGACTTGTCTTGTTACATAAAAGCAGTGACCTGTCTTGTTACATAAAAGTAGTGTGACCTGAAGTGTTACGTAACAGTAGTGACCTCTATACTGTTACATAACAGTAGTTAACCTGTATATTGTTACATAGCAGCGTGACCTGTATAGTGTTACATAAAAGCAGTGTGACATGTCTTGTTACATAAGTGTGATCTGTCTTGTTACAAAACAGAACTTTGACCCGTCTTGTTACATAACATAAGTGTGGCCTATCTTGTTACATAACAGAAGTGTGGCCTATCTTGTTACATAACAGAAGTGTGGCCTATCTTGTTACATAACAGAAGTGTGGCTTATCTTGTTACGTAACAATGTGACTTTTATCTTCTTATATAACATGAGTGTGACTTGTGTCTTGTTAATAACTCTGCGACCTGTCACAGGTTACTCCACCACGTCAGTCATGGCCATCTCATATAATTCCCCCGACATTAAAAGTGCAGGAGCAAGGGAATAAAGAGGGAGTGGAAAGGAGAGAAAAAGAGAGGGGGAGCAAGAGAGAGAGAGAGAGGAAGGCAGAGAAGGGCAGGAGTGTTAAGTCGACCCACGCACCTCAATGGTGCCATGACTCGCCTACCTCACGATGGTACCATGACTTGCTCACAGGTATACACTTTAAGGGGAAAAAACAGTTTAACTATTTCATGGCAGCGTGAAATGTTGAAGATAAGGAAAATCAACATTTCGAAATACTGTGCGCACCTATTTGTGGTTGCACGGGTCGATTCACAGCTTCTGGCCCCGCCTCACCGAACGCTACTAGGTCCACTCTCTCCTTATTCCATGAGCTTTATCGTATCTCTTCTTAAAGCTATGTATGGATCCTGCCTCCACTGCACCACTCTCCAGATTGTTCCACTCCTGACAACTCTATGACTGAAGAAATACTTCCTAACATCCCTGTGAATCATGTGTGTGTGTGCGCGCGCGCACGCGCGCGGATGCGATCATGTTGATCCCTATAATATGCCTGCGATCCCTCTCTACCACTCCTTATTTTCAGGGACCCTATTGTACCTATTCTTATAATTATGTATTGGAGTATGCCTTCAACACTTCTAGGTTATTCCACTTTCTAGATACCTTTAAGCTGGGTGAACATAATTCCTTGAGTTTATATCAATGGAGCATACTACCCACTATAGCTGTGAACTGCACAACAATGTAGTCATTAATGAACCAGCTGGCCACTGCAGCTCATATACTGAATGCAACTATGTACTTCTTATCATGTACTGTTTACTATGTACAATAAGCTATACATAATGTAATGTATACTAGGTACAATAACCGATATACTGTGTTGTGTACTATGTACTGTGTGTCATGTACAATCAATATACTATGCACGGGATATAGTACTATGTCCCGTGCATTATACACTATGTCCCGTGCATTATACACTGTCCCGTGCACTATGTACTGTCCAGAGGATGGCTCTGCTCAACGGAATCCTGATGTAGCTCAAAAAACTGCTTTAGGACTGTCAGTTGATAACGAACACTCGGGAATATTTGTATTGGGGTAGTAGCGATGACGGTGATATTAGCGGCGGCGGCGGCGGCGGCGGCGACAGCGACAGCAGCAGCGGCGGCGACAGCGACAGCAGCAGCAGCAGCAGTAACAGTAGAAGCAGCAGTAGTCGCAGTAGTAGCAGCAGCAGCAATAGTTCAGGTATTACTAGCAATGGAAATTAAATTCTATAATTGTCCAGACAGAAATAACGGTAGTTACACATACGAACACAAGCAACTGGGATTCCCTTCATCAATCTGCAGAGCCCAACCAAACAGGTTCGTAGAGAGGCTTTCTCCTGGCGCAGAGCATCTGCGGGTGCGTGTGCGTGTGCGTGCGTGTGTGTGTAAGCTTGCGCACACTCATGCACTTTAATATATTCCCTTGAGAAATATAGATTTTTAATCACTTTCACAAGCCTATAACGACCAATTCGTTGTGATACATATTTTTTCCATTATTTCCTTTGTGGAAATCCCCGCTATTTTAGATGCCAATAAAAAGACTAATAGATACAATGAGGTCAGAGAGTGAGAGTGAGTGAGCTTTTTTGTGTGGTTAGGGTCACGAAGCTTCTCTCACTGTAATTACCCACAGGTTAATAACCTTACTCCCACACACACTGTAGGTCACTTATGCATGCTGGAGCAGACTGTACCAGCGTCTTCAGTAGTCGGGCGACCTGCTTCGTGATGATCCTTGTATTTGTTGAAGGTTTGTGGTTTAGCTTTTGGTTTACAACAAATATGCCCATGACGGGTTTACTCACTTCAGTTTTCGACGTCACTTCTTTCGTGTTATTTTTTCCTTGTTTGATTATTCCCCTTTTCACTTATTTACTTTCTGTTCGCTTCTGGTTTACTTCTTTGTTCATTAATTTGTTCATTTCGTTGTTCAACAATTTTTCTCACATGCATGTTCAGCTCTTCCTTTTTTCACTCCTTTGTCCACTTCTTTTTGTTTTCATCTTTCGAGTTCATTTATTCCTGCCCTCGTACAATGTAATAATTTGTATAATTTCTATATGTAGTCTAACACAGAAGATAATGTCACTGGCCCATGTCACAGGTAGACCACAAGCTTAATTACGTGATCCTGTATTCCTCCTTCCTGGAACTGAAAGCAAGTATGTCTGTCTGTGTCTCTTCTTTCCCTTCTGTCTTTGTTGTTGTATGAAAATGTCTTGAACCCTCACCACTCCAGCCTTGTCCAACATCACCATGTCCTGATCATCCACCCCAGCCTTGTCCAACATCACCATGTCCTGATCATCCACCCCAGCCTTGTCCAACATCACCATGTCCTGGTCATCCACCCCAGCCTTGTCCAACATCACCATGTCCTGATCATGCACTCCAGCCTTGTTTCTCATCACCATGTCCTGATCATCCACTCCAGCCTTGTCCAACATCACCATGTCCTGATCATCCACCCCAGCCTTGTCCAACATCACCATGTCCTGATCATGCACTCCAGCCTTGTTTCTCATCACCATGTCCTGATCATCCACCCCAGCCTTGTCCAACATCACCATGTCCTGATCATCCACCCCAGCCTTGTCCAACATCACCATGTCCTGATCATCCACCCCAGCCTTGTCCAACATCACCATGTCCTGATCATCCACCCCAGCCTTGTCCAACATCACCATGTCCTGATCATCCACCCCAGCCTTGTCCAACATCACCATGTCCTGATCATCCACCCCAGCCTTGTCCAACATCACCATGTCCTGATCATCCACCCCAGCCTTGTCCAACATCACCATGTCCTGATCATCCACCCCAGCCTTGTCCAACATCACCATGTCCTGATCATCCACCCCAGCCTTGTCCAACATCACCATGTCTTGATCATCCACTAAACCCTTGTCCCTCATCACCATGTCCTGATCATCCACCCCAGCCTCTTCCGTACATCGTGTCCTGACCACCCCCACTCCATCCTTTTCCTGTGTCAAAGCCTCAACTCACTTTTCATGGCACTCAAGGTCATTTCCCAGAAGAAGCGTCTAAGTACTGAAGAATTTCTTAAAAATAAATTAATATACATGGTTTCCAATTGAATCGTCTTTTTTGAAAGCTGGAGCTCAATGGATAAATTTTGGTTAATTATTTGCCATTATCGGGAAATTCAATGTTGCTAGGAGGCAGTTTCCGGCGACGTCCGTAAGGGATTATTTCCAAAAAATTTCGGTCACACTAGTTAAAGTCGCCAGCAATTTTTGGTAAAATCTACAGAATTTACTAATGAACAAGTAAACATACATGGGATTTCAATTTGTTTTACCAGTAATTTTAAAATATAAGTTTGTTAAAATGACTTCTTATAGACTAATTGGTTTATTCGAGTGAACGAACATATTTGAAATTGATCGCTGACGAACGACCCTAGTGAAAACTTGGTGTCAAGCAAAAACCCGTTCATTGTGTCGACTTATAGAGGTGGCTGGCGTTGGCCGGCCTAGTAGACTTCTCAGTTCCCTCGTGGATTAAGCACCTTCCATGGGAGCTCCGGTGAGTGCTGCAGCAGTTTGATGTTTGTGTGTCAGTGATGATGTTTCCGCCAAGCGCATGTGAACCCGTGCAACGTTATAGTTACCCCACTCAATATCATCGCTCGTTTTCTGTAATGGTTGAAAGCAAAAGTGGAAATGTAACTTTCTCTAAACGAGCGCGATGAACCCTCGCTCCAGTTTATGTATTAATATTATTACGTTTATGTATCCATGACATGTTTCATTTTGTATTATGATTTGTGAGTATTATCTGTGGTGCTGGAAGACATGATCTGCTATGAGGCTGACCTTCGCTACCGGTATTATTTAATGCAAGAAACCGGCTTGTGTGACTTTAGTATTACCCCCCACGTGCAAGAAACCGGCTTGTGTGACTATAATATTACTTCAAACGTGCAATAAACCGGCTTGTGTGACTTTAGTATTACCCCCCCCCCGTGCAAGAAACCGGCTTGTGTGACTTTAGTATTACCCCCACGTGCAACAAACCGGCTTGTGTGACTTTAGTATTTCCCCCCACGTGCAAAAAACCGGCTTGTGTGACTATAGTATTACCCCCACGTGCAAGAAACAGGCTTGTGTGACTTTTGTATTACCCCTCACAGAGTCTATGCGCCTCTGTCTACTTTTGTATCAGGTGTTTCCTGTCACACGTAAGGAAATATAATCTTAATTAATATTTGACTAAAGTAATAGCAATATTATTTGTCCATGCTTTTGGTGCTAACCGAAAGATTTGGCGATTATATATATACATTATATATATATATATATATATATATATATATATATATATATATATATATATATATATATATATATATATATATATATATATATATATATATATATATATATATGGAAAGATAACTGTAGTGGTCGGACAACGTTGGTTTAAGTCTTGGGTAGAAAAAAATACATGCAAATCATCCTCACTTTCTCTTTCACTTCACGATGACACAAAATATTGTATTAGGATTTCTGTAAGAGTTACATGCATGACTTAACATTTTGAGGAATAGTGAAGTATTTGTACTCTGAGAACCTGCCTAAGTTATCAAATGTTCGCGGTGTAATATTGTCCTAGCAACACTGCAATGTTTACGGTGTAACATTGTCCTAGCAACACTGCAATGTTCACGGTGTAACATTGTCCTAGCAACACTGCAATGTTCACGGTGTAACATTGTCCTAGCAACACTGCAATGTTCACGGTGTAACATTGTCCTAGCAACACTGCAATGTTCACGGTGTAACAGTCTTAGCAACACTGCAATGTTCACGGTGTAACATTGTCTTAGCAACACTGAAATGTTTATGGTAGGTAAACTTTTCTCATTTACCCGTAAATGTTGTAAACTTCTTTCTTTTAGCGACTGAAAAGTTCTTTTTTAGAAATGCTGTGTAATTCTCTACAATAAATGCTGTAAATATCTTATAAATACAAACTTCTCGCTTACAAATACTGAAATATCTTCCTCTTATGAATATTAAAATATCTGTTAGATAATGAGAGTGTATACTTGATAACATTGTGGTCCTGAAGAGTACTGAGTAGTCTGATAAGATTTGCTAGGATTTTTAAGCCAGGGGGGTTATCCATCCAGGATAACCCAGGAAAGTGAGTGCCTCATCTAGGACTGCCTTATTTCCATTGAGATCCTTCAATCCTGTCTCCAAGGATGCGACCCACACCAGTCGGCTAACACCCAGGTACTTGCTAGGTGTAAGGAAACACGTCCGATGTTTCCACCCGTGCCGGGGATTGAACCACGGACACTCAGTGTGTGATTCTAGACCTTTACCTACCATACCTCTTGCGTGATAACTCTGCCTCTTTCAAATAATAAAATGTCAGTAAAATTATCCACTTCCCCAAATGATGCAACGAAACTGCGTAATGCAAGAACTTGGCAAGAGGCTCGGTGATTCTTGCATGCAGATTTTAATATTCCCCGGAGCGTGTATTTCCATAAACATCCTCCATTTGTCTTGTATGGATATAGCATGCATCCTATGAGAGGTGTCTCTTAGTATATTTAAAAATTTACACTATGTTAATGCCAACTATGAGGAGTAAAGTATTCTTGACTGATGGTGAACATGAGACATGCAGCCTAAATGATATTCTTTTAGTCGATAGACTTCAAGCCCCATTAATCAACTATCAAACACTGAAGTAACAAACTGTGAAAATATCCTTCACTGTGAATGTAGTAACCGTGAAAATAAGAGTCGGGAAAAATACACTTGCTTTTACATCTCACAGAAAACAGTGAAAACTTTTTCCCGCCTTACGTTTCTGCATCCTCCCGGGAAAAGAATTTTTCCCGAGGAAGTCCGCGAGCTAAAATAGAAAGTTTGGAAGCTGGTTTTTAAGCTTCTCTTTCCTGAGGGATGTGAAGCTACGTTTCCTATGGAATCGTCTTGGATTTAGAAAGAAGTTATTTAAAAGTATCCCAGGGAAGGAGTGGACGGAGAGGGTTAAAGGTTTTGAGTGCTAAGGGCTTGAACATCAAGCAGGCATGTGTGAGCGTACTAGATCGGGGTGATTGGAGACGAGAGATTTCAGCACGGCCCAAACTCTACAGGACAAACACCAAACAGAGCAGCAAACAACATGAATCATGTATTAATGTTGGTAAAATTACCGACAATACGTTAGGTAAAATGACACAAGTGCAACTAATGTGACATTTTTATTGTGGCGAAGTTTCGCTCTCCAGGAGCTTTGTCAAACAGTTAACGGCTCGAATAATAAGAGCGCCTATGAATAAGAATCCAGAACCGTTAAAAGTTGAAGAATCAAAGGCGCACAACAATGCCATGTCCTTCCCACTTGGCTCTACAAGCAGTTTCGAGGAGTTAAAATCATAACACGTCAAATAAATACTTAACCCAGCAGTTGGAAATGTTGCAGAGCGTTTCCTGTCCGAATTAGCAAGATTTATCAATAATGTCCTCGCCAGTGGAGTTCCCACTGACCTCGGTTTTGATACATATCTTCCCCTCACTACTGAGAAGGGATAACCCGGCAGGGGTTCTTAACCGGGGGGTATCCATACACCTGGGGGTACTGGAACCAAATAACTGGGGAATGGGACTTCATTTCTGAGCAATTAAAAAAAAACTGAGACAGTCTGGTGAAGAGGGGTCTGGGCACATACTGAGCAATCCATTGGGGGTCTGTAATCGTAAAAAAGTTAAATACCCCTGGGAATCTATTCCACTGCTGTAGATAGCTTCTTGCACCGCCTTGTTGCCCTGGCATCCGTAAGAACATTGAGCAGGGAGGGAGATACCCTAATGAAACCAACTCAGCTTGGGTTTGGTATTTCAAGGCAGAGTCCATGATGAACGCGCATATTTTACCAACTTCACTTGCCATAATTCTTTGATTATATCGTAATTTTCCAATGCTTTAAATTTAGTCAAAATGAGATGCTGTACTATAAGCTGTTTAACGGCAGTTTCCTTCCCTTTATCTGTTCATTACTCATACTACAACACTAGATCAAAACTTCTATTTGGTGAACATGAAATCGATTCGTACGAAAGTGTTCAGAAGAGTGATCCCACCCTGCGCCTTTTCTACCTAGCCATCAAAATAATCATGAGGAACTGGCCAGCGAGTTCAACATTTGCTTCCTAATGGTTAGCACTGTGGCAGACATCACAGAAGTCTCTAATAGAGAACAACAGAACACGGGGTTTATCCCTTCAAATTCGAACTAGTAACAGCCGTCTTACAAGGACTGCAAGTTATTATTCCCACTCTGTCTCATTTTTTTTCTCCCTCACTTTCCCTTTTCTTCTTCCTCAGTATCCATATTCCTCTTTCTCGTTATTGTTCGTCATAGTTACAACAGACAGGAAATAATTACGAACAAAAATTCTTGCCCTTATTTCGTATGATTGTTATCACAGTTGGTACCAACACCATCATCACCACCGGTACCACTATCAACACCCTCCCGTGACCATCACTACCATTTCCACCCCCACCCGCTCCAGGATCTCGATGGAATAGAGGTCACATTATCTCTCAGTAGGTGAGATCAGTTTCCTCAGAGGTGCTGTGGGCTGGAAGTGACAGGCAGCAGAGGTTAGCATTAAGTGTGAGGTCGTATTCACCACGACGAGACGAGGGAAAGTGTTGGGTGCTGAGGCTAACGTTTTACTCTGTATATTGTTTTCTTCTGGCTGGGAGGCAGGCTGCCTGGACGGATTGATGGATGGAGGAGAGAGGGATGGATGACTGGATGAATGAATAGATATGGATACGTGGAAAGGTGAAAGGAGGGTTGGCTGTTTCAGCAGCAGACTGCTTGGAATCATGTATTTGAAAAAGGTACTGCCTGAATAAAATTTCTGAAGACAGCGTCTTGCGCTATAAATGTTTTTTCTAGCTGTCCATGAAATGTGACCAGGCAGGGAACCTCGAGAATATTGTCTTCTCAGGCTCTCTCTCTCTCTCTCTCTCTCTGACACACACACACACACACACACACACACACACACACACACACACACACACACTCACACTTTAATCTAGGAGAATACTCTGCCAGTGCCTGGCAGAGTATTCTCCTAGATTAAAGAGTACTCAAAGACAAAAAACAACTAGACAAAATGTCAAGGTGGACGAGTGAAGGTTGAGTATCGCAATGGTCACTGGAGTACCACAAGGGATAATAGAGAACCCAAGGGTTACTTAATTCACCAAAGGGGTACTGGAATCCCCAAGAATTACTGGGGCCCCTAAGGGTTACTTTTAAGCTCCATATTGTTCCTTATATCTTTTATGAACTTCTCAGGAGAACTAGATTACGCTATGTCAGTGTCTGCAGACGATGTCAAAATTAGGAAAAAGAATTGAAGCGGAAAACTAGGAAGCTACAAGAAGACCTGGCAGAATACTGGAGACTACAAGAAGACCTGGCAGAATACTGGAGACAAGAAGACCTGGCAGAATACTGGAGACTACAAGACTTGGTA